TTACCATCTTGAAACACAAGTGTAGTTAACCAAGTGATAAACCTTACAGTGATAACACAATAGTTAGCATTCCCAGCTATTCTCAAGTCTGCAGACATACTGCTAGACAAGAAGGTTTCTCAATCTTCCAAAAGGAAAAGGAAATTCTGAAACCAAAGCTCATCCTAGGAATTCTGAGAAAACAATAAACTGAGTAAATTTAAAAATAAATCCTCTAGGTAACTATCAGATGTCTGGAAAACACCATAATTTTTCAGATATTTAAAAATAATTCACTTGAATTTAAAAAAGGATGAGTCTTTATATACAAAGATATAAAAAGGCTGAGTAACAGGTCATTTGCTGCCTTCTAAGAAACAGAAAAAATATCTAGATCTGGGAAAATCAATTGGTCTTTTTCTATGTTTGGAAAACACAACCAGTGATCGAGAGACTTTCCTGATAATGATAATAATAATAATGCATTGTGCAATTTCAGAATGGAAAACATTTCAGTGGAGTGTATTATTGCTACTGTCTTTCCAGTTAATAAAATGTGAAACACACAGTTTCTAAGATTGTGCACTTTTAGAGTACATAGTAAAAACAGCAGTGGTGTTGGAGGTAGCCCAGCAAGGTGAGTGTTATCCTTAGTTTTGCCCAGACTAGGGCAATTTTGTGGTAAATTCTACAAAAAACATGAAGGGAAAACTTTTTACTTGTTGATTTATTGGACTGTCCATCTTAATGCTTGCCACAAAGTTCCCACTTTCTGGATGTGAGCTAGGAGAGAGCAACCATGGTACTGTGGTCCAGGTTTTCATCAGCATGGTTTTATCTTGGATTGCCTCCTTTCTGGCAATCTCAACTCAGGCTAGAAACTCTTTTTATAATGATGATGTCCCTGGCTTTGTAAGGAAGCTATTACCTTGAGATTTAGCGTCTCACCTCCCAGCCTGACATTCTCCTTCTGAATGAAGTGGCTGAAAGAGGCAGCTCCCTGTGGATATAAGAGGAAGAGGCACTTACAGCGCCTTCTTTGCAGGCAGTTGTATAATGTGCATGCACAAGCTGAAACAGTGCAGAAAACTCCTGACTCTTGCATTTCTAAGGAGATACAGACATCTAGAAAGAATAATATTTTGATTACCAGTTAAAGAGAAGTCCATCAGCTACCTTTTTCCCCAAAGTCAGAGGTTCTGTCTTACTGGCATCACATGCCAACCTTTTTCAAATCCAATGTTACAGTAAGATAAGGCATGGCCAGTTCTCAATTTCATAGATGCAAAATTGTTAACAAATGCAGTGTTAATATCTGATGAGGAATAGTCAGTCAATGTCTTCCTACCCACAGAAAGTTTTCTACAGACCCTCTGCGTTCATTTCCAAATTCCTAATATTTAGCGGCAAAGATGCATTTTTGGTATGAAAACATGTAAAAATTTAATTCAAATCTGCTCTGTGTTTTGCCTGAGAGTTATTAAGATGCAGACTTCTTTGGTTTAAGTAGCTAAGCTTTCATTCTGAAACAATTATATGTCATAAATAATTTAAATGTGATTTGAAACATCATGGAAAACTGAGAATGTGATAATTCCCTCTTACCCTCTTTTTCAAATTTTAAGATACTCAAGTAGACATGACTTTTTTCCCCCATGTCTATGAACTTCCTTTCACACACTGTGGATACCATCACTGCTCAGAAATTGAAAATCATTGATTCCCAATTATACTGCTTTTGGCTTTTTCCTCCATTTGTTCCAGTTTGGGTTTTTTTGAACATGGGCAAGCATAGCTACAGACAGTATTTTGCATGGAATTTAATGAGTGGCTTGCATAATGGCACTGGTATGCCTATATTTCCTACTGCAAATGCTTTGCTGTATGTATTCCAGGATCATATCTGCCACCTTTGTGGTCTTGCTACACCAAAGACTCTGTTCTCCTGTGATCAGCTGGATCACACCTTTCTCTTTCCTAGTATTTCCTCCTAGTAAGTTCCCAGTTTACAGCAGAATTTATTAATCACCAGATAAATGACTTTGCGTCTTGCACTGTGAACTTTCTCCATTTCTGTTACTCAATCCTTAATGTCATCCAGACCAAATTTTACTCATTACTGAGAATACTTCTTAATATTATCTTATTAGCAGATGTCACTACCAATCCTACTTCTTGTTTTGAAGTCATTAATAATAAAGATAGGATCAGGGTAAGTTCTTCAAAAACTCCATTAGTACTACAGTTCCACATACAACTCTGCCCATTAGTTAATCATACACTTTCAAATCTGTGCACTTATGTTCAGCTTTGCTAACAATTTCATATATGGCATTATAGCAAATACTTTACAAAGAACCACCTTTGGTAAATGTTAGAATCAGACTTTCAAACACACCACTGGGGTTTTTCTTGTCCATAATGAAGTAAAATGGGCCCTACCAGACAGTTTCCAGAGGAAAATACTACACTGCTGAAGAGGAATGTTGATGTAAGATTTCAGCGACTTGTGGGCCTCCTAGTCAGAATTCATGTTAGATCTGCTCTGTGACCAGTCTTGTGAGCACGGTCGACTTAAAACAAGAACAGTGAAGGGAAAACATTATTCAACCACCAAGAACTCATATCTTAAAAAAACTACTAGCAGAACTAAAAGTGCTAGAAGTATGGGCTATACAGTGTGGTATAAAGAAAAGCTACGTAAGAAGCAGCAAGTACTGATAGAAAGTCCAAAAACTTGGTAATACTACCTTAGCCAGACCACTAGAAATTAAATGATAAAATATCTCATTCCAATCCTGCACTAAAATTTTAACTGAAGAGAGTCTCTCATCAGCCAGCATGTGATTAAGTTGGAAAGTATCCAATAATTTAATTTTTATTCATCTTCTGATAGCAATAGTCTTACCAAAGAAAGTATGCTTGTACTAGACATAACTATAAACAACATTTGTCACCTAGTAGCAATGGAAAACCTGGGCAGACTAGTGACAAGAGCTTCTCTGCTGCATGCTCAACTGCAACCAGATGTATCATATTACATGTATTGATAGGGGAATAAAATTGCATTATTTGTAAGATTCTCAGGAAAATGTTTTTTGATTGCTAGAATGCACTTTTAAGGGATGCAATTTTAAGCATGACTAAAATTAATGTAGGTAAACAGTGCAAATCTGCCAAACAAAATTCATCCTTAGCTTAAATCCCTTAAAGTTAATGGAAGTACATGTGGGGCACATTAACCCCTCAGACTTGTAATTCACTCTTCTTAAGTAAAGTTCTCAATTTTCCTTTCTCATTTAACTCCGATCCCCAAAGTTTCTTTTCCACTAAGACCTTTGAAAAGAACTGAACCACCAAAAGAACCTTATGTTTAGGTAGAGCAGCAATTCAGGGAAATCCTTAATATTAATTAAAAATCCTTAATATTAATATTAATTTAAAAATTAACCAGTAAGCTCTGTACAAATCATTCTGTTAATCACCTTATTATATTCTACCCTTCTTACCCTCTTTCATTTGGATTTTATAACTCTGCTTATAGTTCTCTTAACATAAATAAACACCACACACTTTACTTAATTTGTATAATAAAAAAGCCACAAACTGGCCGTAGATACAGCCATAACAAAGCACGCTGAGAGTCTCTCCAGGAAACACAATGTTTGCTTGTAAAGTGGTTCACGACATGCTTGCAATATTTTGCTGTTGCATATGGGAACTCATTTCTTTTCTTTTGTAAAAAGCAATTCACTTCATTTTTTGACTGTAATTAAAATCCTTAAAAATTTTTGTGACTAACAAAAATCATTTGATTGATGAATGTTTCTAAAGGGTCTAACCAGATTTAATGTTCCGGTCTCACAGGCTTACCTTGCTTCTGTGGACTGAACTCCCTCTAAATGGAAACCTGAGGCAGTCACATTAAAAATTCTTGTTTCCTGGCCTCATGTGACTTTTCCCAACCCAACTATTAATAGTTTGGTGCAGTTTTTTATTTTTCAATGAAACATCAAAATGTTGTGCAGAATGCATATAGTTTTTCTTAGGAAAAGCTAGTTTAAAAGGAAAAAGTCTTTCTGTTGACAAAAAAATGCTAATAGAAAATGTTCAACTAGTTCTACTGCCACAGTCCTTTTGAATGTCCCTAGCCTCAACTGGTCAAGAAGTGACAATCATAAAATCTTTTTCAGTCATGTTAACACCTGCCTGGTGTCAGATTGCCTTTCTGTAATTCCATGAGAGTTTCCTGGCAAAGTCTGTGCTGCAACATTTGCAGAGGGCTCCCATCTAATTATACCACAAGTATTGAAAATGAAGATGTCTCTCCTCTGGTTCAGCACTAGTTCAGCTTTCTCTGGAGCAATGTCCCCAATGTGAGATCTGCAAATCAAGCAATATGCTGCAAAATTTGGGGAGAATTCAGAGAAAACCTGTGAGATGGACTAGAATTGGAAAACAAGTATTGCATTGACTTGTAAAATAATATGTTTAGTTTATCAAAGAGAAGGTTAAGGTGCTATCCAGATGCAACCTTAAAATGCATCTAATATGGCAACAAAAATATCATAGGAGGGATTTTAAAACAGCAAGGAAAGTTACTGGAAGATCTAATGATTGGAAACAGACACCATGCAAAATCTAGATTACAAGCAAGCTACAAAGTTATGACTCTGAACATGTTAGGAAGAATTGTGGTAGCTTCTCTATGCTTTTAAACTAAGATTCAGGGTCTATTTCAACCGTAAATATTGTACTTAAAACACAAGATGGTTCTAGAAAATCCTGTTTTATACAGTGGAACTGATGAGATGACTACAGTGGTCCCTTCTGTCCTTAAAATCTATGATTTTCTGAATACCTTTTTCTCTAGCATAACACCGTACAGCCACAATGCAGTAATTTCAGTCTGACTTTTTTTTTTCTGTCTTCTATTATGTTTTGTTTGCTTTGCTGGCTTTGTATTTTTTTGTTCCTTTTCTTTTTTGTTTGGGGTTTTTTGTTTGTTTCTTTTACTCCAGGAATTGGTCAAGGAGTTCCAGTGGTGGCCCTCATTGTGGAAGGTGGTCCCAATGTTATCTCCATTGTTCTGGAGTACCTGCGAGACACTCCTCCTGTTCCCGTTGTGATATGCGATGGCAGTGGTCGGGCATCTGACATCCTTGCCTTTGGTCACAAATACTCTGAAGAAGGAGGGTAAGTAATTTTCTAGTGTGTGTTCTTTCTTCATCCACAGGTTCAATGTGGTGGTAAGATAGAGCCCAGGAAATTATTAGCAATGTAGTGCAAAAGCGATACCTTCCTCACATGGTTGTTTCCATCACTGATAGGGGTGAAATACTGAAGGTATGCAGAACAAAAAAAAAAGAGGGGGCGGTTAAAGCAACACTAAGGAAAGTCTGCAGAATAAAACAGAGATGTAGAAACTCTCATGTAGTTACTTGCCATGACATGTAACACATTAACAAGTACAATGTATGGTATCTTGCAGTTGCAGGTCAATGGATTCAGTCAAGGGGCACGGGGAATTATTTTCACTGGCTTAGGTATGCTGTCATTATAACACAGTGTACTGCTGTCTTCAGGTTTCATTTAGCCCTACATGTTCATATAAGCTAGTTTGTATTTGCCTTGCCTATTAAGCGTAATTCTGCACACTCACTTATAATCACACATGACTGCTTGTGCACTGATCTACCAAACCTTGACTATCATCTACCAAACCTGTCATTTCATCACAGAAGGTGATCAGGTTGTCAAGCATGACTTCCCCTTGGTGAATCCGCAATGACTACTCCTCATTATCTTCACGTACTTCATGTGCCTGGATATGGTTTCCTGGATTAGCTGCTCCATCACTTCCCCAGGGATCAAGGTGAAGCTGACCAGCCTGTAGTTCCCTGAGTCCTCCTTCTTGCTCTTCTTGAAGATAGGTGTGACCATTGCTTTTCCCTAGTCCTCAGGCAATTTTTCAAAGATTATGGGGTGACCTTACAATGACATTAGCTAGCTCCCTCAGCATTCATGAGGGAATCGGGGCCTATGGACTTATGTATGTCCAGCTTGTTTAAATACTCCCTAACCTGATCTTTTACCACCAAGGGTATTACTTCCTCCCTCCAGACTTGCCCCCGGTCTCTGGGGTCTGGGGTTGAAGGCGGCATTCAGTACTTCAGCCTTTCTATGTCCTATGTCACCACGTCCCCTGCCACATTCAGTCAGCTTAGAGGAGGTGATACTGGAATATTACCCAGCTTTCTTGGGCCCCACTTCCCTCTGGGTTTTATCCCATAGGACTCTTCCAAGCAGATCCTCAAAGAGGCCAATCTGCTCTCCTCAAGTCCAGGGTTGTGATTTTGCTTTTTGCCTTCTTCCTCCTCTCAGAATCCTGTACTCTACCATCTCATGGTCACTGTAGCCAAGACTGCCTTTGACCTTCACAACCCCACTGAGTCCCTCTATGTTGGGGAATATGAGGTCTAGCAGAGTACCTCTCCTCATTGACTGCTCTATCACTTGTGTCAGGAAGTTCTTGTCATTGCACTCCAGGAACCTCCAAGATTGCTTACACCCTGCTGTGTTGTCCCTCCAGCAGATATCTGTCTCAGGCCTGTGAACATGAAGCTGCTCCTAGCGGTCTGTAGAGGGCTCTTCCTGCTCATGCAGCTTATAGCAGACACCCACTGCAATGTCCCCCTTACCTGTCTTCCCTTTAATCCTAACCCATAAACTTTCACTTGGCTCATCATCCATCCCCAGGTAGAGCTCCACACACTCCAGCTGTTCTGTCATAAAGGGCAAGTCCAACTCCTCATCTTCCCAGCCTGCCTTTCTTAAGAGCTTGTATCCCTCCATTGCAATACCTCCAGTCATGGGAGCCATCCCACCATGCTTCTGTAACCCCAACAAGATCATAGCCCTGCAATTGCACACAGATCCAACTCATTTTGTTTGTCACACATACTGTGCACTTTAGTACACAGGCACCCCAGCATACTGATTTAGTAGAAGGGGCTTTGGGGATTTCTCCATGATGGCACCCTGTAGGTACTTCCTTGCTTACATAAAAATGATGGAGGTGAGCTTGCTTAAGACCTGTTTCACTGATTTTGTGATCCCTTCTCATCCCATCACTCCAGGTTCTTCACTCATCAGCCCTGTGCATCACAGTCTCACAGAGCTGCTGGTGACTCCACCTCCCGCAGCATTCCTACTTTAAAGCCCTTCTTACCAGATCAGCCATTTTGGCCAGGGTAGCTTTGTGAGGTGTATCCCATCTCTCACAAGCAGATAATGATCTGCAGACAAGGTCCCATGGTAATAGAACCCAGAACCCTGTCACCAACACCAGCTCTGCAGCCACTTATTGACCTATATTATCAGTGTCCTCTTCCCCACACCCTTTCCTCTGACCAGCAGGATTGAGGACAACACCACCTGAGTCCCTATGACCTTGACTACTGCTCCCAGAGCTTTGTAGTCACTTTTGATACTCTCCAGGTTTCCCCTTGCAGTATACTTCTTGACCACATGGAAGAACAGCAGCGGTCAGATAAGCTTTGGCAGTCCCTTCACAATATGCAAGTTCTGGTCCCCAGCAGACAAACCTCTCTAGTTGATAGGTAAGGTCAACAGATGAATGTTTCTATCCCCTGCAACAAGGAGTTCCCCATTATAATCACTCACTGGTTGTTCCTGGTGGTCTTGCATGGATTAGGGTCAGGTAGCGCAGTTCCTTTGCTTGAAGGCACATGTGGCTTCTCTTCAAATTTGAGAGTGTTGTCCCAAAAGTGGGATTGTGTACCCAGTCTGCAACATGCCAATATACACACAGAGTAGAGATATTTTATATATAGCATATTTGTGCAGACATGGGCACTAGGCAGTATCCCACAAAGCTAGCACACCCCAGAGAGGAATCACCACACACTTATCCCATTACATGATTAGCAAAAACAATAGAGAACCCTCCCGAGTTTACATTCATTGGCTAGTAATTACCACATTGTTTATTATTGGTTACGCATATTTACAGTGGTACACATGCTTCTAGAAAGAGGTGGGGGTAATCTTCAGAGTCCCTCAACTAAGTTGGTGGTCATGATCTCCACCTGCCACCTTTACGTTTACCCTAGTTACTGTGGATTCTGCTGATCGCATGACAGTTACATTTTTCAAGAGGGCAGAAACAACTAAATCTTCATGGTTTACTGCTTAAGTACAAATACTTCTTCATCTTCTTAACCACCAAATCTGGGTTCATTAACTTTTTTCAGTTGTGTTGTCTCCTACTGACCTATGCCCTAGAATCTTTCATTTAGTCTCAGACACCAAGAGCAGTGAACCTATTTTGTTGTTGTAAGCCGTTAGGTGAGGCAGGAGCCTTACTCTTGGTGCCAGCAGTCACCAGATTTCATCCTCTGCTTTCTCCAGAGGTTGCACTTACCTAAATACTAGGTGTGGATACTGATTGCATCTCTGTTGCAGTTGCAGTCCAGGGTTCTTCAAGCTGTTGCATCTCATATAAGATCCTGTCTATGTCCTTGTCATGTTCTCTGATGATGCATAGCCTGCTCACTTCCTTTCGTAACTCCTATGCTTGGTGGCACAGCTACTCCAAGATGGCAGACCTGCAGGAAAGAAAGCCATCTCTCCTGGCATCAAAGATAGACCCTGCAGCGTGGGACATGGAGAGCTGTGTCCACCACCCAAAGCTCCATCTATATTAAAGCCTCTGCTCTGGCAGGGGCAGCTACTCCAGCACCTGCCAGGAAGATTACCCTGTATCATGTCACCATCATACCTGAGACTGTTAACACTGGAACAAATTCATCTGAAGCCTTCTTTGCACCCCCTTGCACAAGCTGCAGCATCTGTTGGCTGTACTCTTAGCCTGGTTCTTATATAGACCTTTCCTGAATACCAGCCAATGGGTGCTTGATCCTCCCTAATATGGGGTCAGTTGCAAATAAGACACCCTGGGTCAACGGCTGCTCATCACGCTCATTAGAAAATGCTGGAGCTTTCTCAGACCCATACCCTTGTGGCTCCAGGGAGACCTTATTGCAGCCTTTCAGTACTTCTAAAGAAGGCTCATAAGAAAGATGGGGACAGACTTTTTAGTGGGGTTTGTAGCAATAGGGGGCAAGGGGTAATGGTTTTGATCTAAAAGAGGTTGGATTTAGGCTAGGTAGAAGGAAGAAATTTTTCACAATGAGGTTGGTGAACCACTGGTACAGGTTACCCAGAGAGGTGGTAGATGCCCCATCCCCAGCAACATTCCAGGTCAGGTTGGACAGGGCTCTGAGCAACCTGATCTAGTTGAAGATGGCCCTGCTCATTGCAGGGGGGTTGGACTACATGACCTTTAAAGGTCCATTTTAACCCAAACTATTCGATGATTTCATCATAATAAACTCCTGCCTGTAAGAAAGGCAAGTGATAGAATCACTAGAGGCAGAACAAGCAAGTCATATCTTACCTGAGATGCTCAAGTCTGGCTTTGTGGGAGCTATTATTTTCCCTTACTATGGGTCTTCTTTTCATAGTGGTGCCATTCCAGGTGGTGCCTGCAATATTATCAAATAGTATAATTTTTTTTTTCCTTTTTTTTTTTTCCCCATTCACTTTGCACTAAATAGAATGCACAAACTATGAAATTTGTAAAGCTAGCTACTGGGAATTTCTGTGTGTTCACCTTGCTTCAGAAAACATCAGTCTAAAATGCAATGATATTTTTAAGAATACCACAAATGAAACACCAAAACACCACTATTATTTATATTCATAAAAATATTTTACCCAAATTCATTAGAGTTCAGATACAAATTGGGTACTTTTCCCCCTCTGTAAACTATTTCTGAATAGTGCTTAGCAAATGAGGAGAATAACTGAATAATGGGCATGTTAACTGAGTTCAGCTACTAGCTTTTTCTTTTGGATAGAATCTAAGTAGGTTATACAAAACTCTGTCTATTAGGCTCTAAATCAATGTAACATGTCCAAATTGCATGCAGAATTTAATTCTGCAATCCACTGTGCAATCAGACTATACTGTCAAAAATTTATTTTAATTCTGGCTGCTGGCTGCAAATCAGGGTCTTATCCCGAGACACAGCGTATCTTCCAACTGCTATGCACTGGATATCTGATCTAAGTAATTCAAAAACCACATCATTCATGGCAACAGCAGACTC